CACCACCTCCACCACATCACCACCACCTCCACCACCACCACCACCACCACCTTTGGGTTGGCAGCCATTGAACTACCAGGCCTCCTTATAAAGGAATAAGAACAATGATATAGTCCTTTGTGTGAACTTGAGGGATTCACTCAAAGCCCTGAGCCAGTTTTTCTCACCTGTAAAAAGGTAAGGGTGCCTCCCTTGCTCCCCACCCCCTCCTCACAGGGTTATCCTGAGGATTAGCCAAGAGCAGGTTTGTAACAGCACCATTCTGACAATTACAAGGTGTGATTATCTGCCCATAAAGATAGTGACTCACTCAGCTTGCACGAATGGTCTCCCAGCCCCAGTTGCAAGCAGAGTCCTGGCGGGTTTAATGCATGTGCTTGTGGCCTAAGCTCCTGGGGAGTGATTTCGGGGGTGGCCCCCGGCTTCCCTGAGAGAGTGAGGGGGATGCTCTGAAAGCAGCACCTGCAAACAAGAGGTTTGCCAAAGGATAGAGAAGCAGTCATCTTGTGTAGACATGTGAATACCGTGGAGGCAGAGAGATGCCCTAGCAGCACAAAACATCTGTTGCAAGTTTTCCTGGGAAGACCCTGAAGGAAAAAATAAAATATATAGTACTCTTGATATAAAATAGACCGATTACAATTTTCAACACTTACTGTAGGCTGTGGCCTTTGATGAGTCCTTTAACTTGCTCTGTGAGTCCATTTTGGAGAAAGATGAGGCTTTCTGTCCCTGTGAAGAGTGACCACCTCAGAACCCTCAGGGGCAGTTCTCCCCGTTCAATAGGGTCCTGTGAGGCAGAATCAACTCCAGGGCAGAGAGAGAGACTGACTGGATCTCCAGGGCCGGGTGGGTTACCAGGTGGGCTGCAAACTGCAAAGTCAGCAGCAGTTCCGACCCACAGCTGCTCCTGGGGTGAAAAATGAGCCTTTCTGTTCCTGTAAAGATTTACAACCTTAGAAAAAGCACTATGGCAGCTCGGCTCTGGCCTACAGGAGCCAAACTCGACTCACTGGCAGGGAGTGTGGTTTGGATTTCTGGGGTGAATCCATTTCATCTGTAAAACAGGGATATCAGAATGTCCTACATTGGATTGTTGTGTGACTTGAGAGAATCCCTGGAAAACATAATGCCTAACTTTACATGCCCCATAAATATAAAACACTAAGCAATACTTTTCCTGAAAAGCAACTTAATGTCTCGATAGAAATCTAGTCAGACCACAGGACCAGAACTAGATGGTACCTGACTACAGTTACTGACCACTTTGATCAAAGATTCTATAGGAAAATCATGATCAAAAAGGGGGAACCTGAGGGAAGAATTCTCAAATCCTCATGGAATCCATACTTTCTGGAGCTGGATGAGCCCCCCAACTATGGCCCTGAGACCACTTTTTTAAATTTGAAGCCAAAAATATCCCATCATATTCCTTAAAGCAAACCATAGGTTAGCTTAAATTACGAAGAATGGCTGCCCCTCTGACGCATGTTGGGCCTTATCTGGTTTTCAACATATTCTGTGTTTTCCTTTATTTTCATATTGGTGTTATCTCAGATGTATTTTGTCATTAGGGGTAGCCCTTTTGAATTTTGGTTGTATGCTTTTTCATTTTTCCATAGATGAAACCCAGGACTGATGAGCCTATAGAGACAGCAAGGAGAATAAGGGTTCTTGGGCAGTGGGTGTGGGTACAAGGGAACTGATATCAAGGAGTTCAAGAAGAAAGAATGTTTTGAAACTGATTGTGGCAGCAATTGCACAATACTGCTTAATGTGCAATTGTGTGGTACTGATTGAACTAGGAAATGATATGGTATTGGTATTGGCTCCCAATAACATGGGGGGGGGTCTGCCTTTACAGGGTGCTCCCCCTCTAAATGGGGATCCAGTTGACAAAAGCAACTAAAAAGGTTAGATGAAAAGCCATGAGTTTGTTCATGAGAGAGGAGAGATTCAGAAAAGGAGGGCTGGACGGTCACCTACCTTGTAAATGTAACGTGTCGCCCAACGATGGGTCTGGAGATTGTTGGAGTAGCGTTGTGCTCTCCTCCATGTATTTTCAATAAGAGCTCATTAAAAAAAAAAAAAAGCAAACATCTCTTCTTTGGAAATGAGAATTTATTTTACAGAAAATAAATTAATTACATTTTCAGCCCAAGCCTAAGTGGCTTTAAAGTGCATCATCTGTGTAGGGGGTTTGGCAGGGTGGCCCCGGCTCCTGTCGACTAACTGTCGAGTTGTGGTTTTGTACATTAGCCACCCATTGCCATGACTTGGCTGGGTCTGGGAAGCAACCCAGCGTCCTTGCCCGGAGCTGTTTACACAAATCACACCAAAATCAAGAGATTGTTTTTTCCCTGTACCTGATGCAACAGTTTTAAAAAAAAATAGTCTCAAAACGGACTCAAAAGTCTGTGGCCGAGGAAGTCTGAGTTCACAACCACACAGCACACGCCCAAAGGCACATACCCGTCCTGGGTCAGGTGAAGCAGGTCTTTCTGCAGGTTCCTGCATATGCAGGTTGCTCGATCCCCGTACAGACATCTTGCTGGCCCTTACCCAACCTCCTTCCCCTGCCCCCTCCCCCCCTTTGGAAAAGGAGGATTTTCTTCTTTGTTCTTAAGGGAAGAACTCTAGGTATCCTAGCGGTCCTGACATGCAAGTCTCATTGATAAAACTAATTCTTCCTCCTAAGGGGGTGGGGTGTGTGTGTGAAGTGGGGATGGGGGACAGAGGGGGGAGGGGGAAAGCATGAGAATGGCTAATCTGTACTTCCATTCCTTTTGTAAATCACATCAATACAATGTTTGACACTACAACAGATCATCATTTACAAGGTGGCGAAGGGCAAAAACCAAAGCCTTCGCGCCTCCCTCCCCAGTCCAAAGGGGCAGGCCCAGAGTCCGGCCCACAGGTTCAGAGGGAGGCCCTGGAAGCCCCATCAGTGCTGTTCTCCTGCTCTGAATGGCACGCCTCCCTTTTCTGCCGCAGTTCCGTCGGGCCCTCGGCCCCTGGCTCCAGCCCCTTCTGGAACCATGAATACTGCCAGCCATCGACGTTCCTGTGTTGGAACACCCACCCCGCGGGCGGGCGCGGCCCTGCTTCAGACCGACGTGACAGTCCGCACTTTGGCAGAGAGCGCTTGCTTGAATCGCCTCTTCAGGTCTTGCATATTGGGCGACTTGGGCCTGGGGATGAGGGAGCTTCTCCGCTTCTCCAGCGTGCCGCTGGGCTGCTGCTTGTGACTCACTTCTTTGCACAGCACGTGGAAAGCATGGTACACGTCGTTGTAATTCTCGCTGACGGACACCTCATAGAACGAGCAGCCCAGCGCGCTAGCCAGCTGCGGTCCGAGCTGAGGGTCCACCTGCTTGATGTGCAAAAGGTCGGCTTTGTTGGCCACCACCACCACGGGCAGCCGGGCACCCAGGTGTAGCTGCTGCACGTGCTGGTGGAGCTGGCCGATGAGTTCATAGCTCTTGTGATCGGTGATGGAGAACACCATCACCACGGCGTCTGCCCAGCGGATGCACCGATTCAGCTGCTCGCTGCAGCTCAAGCCGTTCTCGTGGACCTGAAAGATAGCGGGCCAGCCCGGTGAGCATGCGGCCCCACCTCACCCCGGCCGCCCTCCACTGCGCCATCAAAAGAGCCCTTCCTGCCGTGGCCAGGCTGCAGGCTGTCAACCAGCTAGATCCCCACACCCTTCAGCCTTCTGGACACCGTGTTGATCCAGCTGCACAGAGTTGGAATAAATAACAGGGCAGCTCCGCCACACTCAAGTGGAAAATTGACCTGCAGAGAACTCTGTGCAGAGAGACTTTGTAGTTGCACAAAATGGGAAATTAACTGGCTAGACAGTAAGTCTGGGGCAGGACAGATAGGAGCTGGAAGCATTTAAACCTGGATAACTGCCCAGGGCGAGGGGGTGGGGCGGGGAGACCACGAACTTTCCACAGTATCCAAATGGTTCTAAGTGTTGGGGACTGTATCTCCGTGCTTGATTTATAAACACACACACACACACACACACACACACACACACACGACAGCATTTGTTTTCCTGTACCTGTCTGATGCAGCCGTTTAAAAAAATTACAGTCTCACGATTGCTCAAAGTCTGCAACTCCTAACCACACACCCTCGAAATTGTGCCGAGCCTGTGTCGGGCAAAGCCACGCCTTGCTGCTAGGCAAGCTGACATGTGTCTGAGTGGAGAACAATCTGGGGCCCCTCGCCTCTTTTTCTGGCAAGGAGGATTTTTCCAAAGTCACACAAATAAAACCAACCTTGTTACCCCTCAAAAGGAGAAGTTGGCCAGTGCTGTGTGTACTGGGATTAGCCCTTCCAAATTGTAGACTCTTCCTTGAATCTGATTCCTGCCCTTTTAGCCAAGCCGCTCACATTAACCATTGGCTGACCGACCAGCAGCCAGAGAACATGGTAGTCGGGCACCATGGACAAGTCTAGAACAACTGGGACAGGCCAACAGCCAAGAGGACTCCCAAGAGATCCACCCCATAGTTTGAGTTTCTCACCTGAATGCCTGGGGTATCTTGAACCTGGAGAGCCAGGGTTTCCCCCTCCATTTGGACTTGTCTAGTGTAGAGATTACCTATGAAGGCGAATAAGAAGAAAAGATTAGTTCTCTTCCTTTTTCCATAACTTTGAAAACATTTTTACTTTCTTTTTTTAAGATGTAAATCTAGCCTGCACAAGAGGCACAAAAATAAACTATATTTCGTTTCTGTGCAATGGGCATGTTTCAGATTTTTTTAAACCCCCTATTAGTAGAGTTATTCAAACATTGGCAGAATTTAGGAGCCCTGCTAACACCCAAAGTCAGCAGTTCAAACCCACCAGCCACTCCTCAGGAGAAAGAGGAGGTTGTCTGCATCCCTAAAGATTCAGTTTGCACACCCTGTGAAGGGTTGCTATGAGTCGGAATCGACTTGATGGCAATAATTTTGGATTTTTTTTGATGGGAAAGTTTGCAAGTTTTTTTTTTCTGTTTTGTTTTTAAATAAGACTCTCCTGTATTTCAAAGGATTCCCTTGGAGCACGTCTTCTTGTTCAACAGGTGTGGGCTTTCTATTATATGTACACTTTATCACCTCTTGGATATAAATTTAAATTCAGCTACTAGACATAATGGCTCGGTCAGCAAATATTATTGGTAAATGCCAGCGCCAACTGTGACAAGATGCTAGCCAAATCTCCATCAAAGCATAAGACGGCTGCCCGCCCGACGGGCTCAGCCATTGGCCAGCCCAGCACAGGCAGACAGCTACCCGACATCCAAGTCACAGGATTTGAAATACACCTGCCTTCTCATTTATCCAGAAATGCCCCTCCAAAAACCCCCATGGAGTTTGCTGCTGCTTTGTTAACCGAAGTTTCCGTTTAAAACTGCTGTCCCTTGGCCTTTGCTTTCAAAGGTCATCTGTGAAAGGGCAGCCAGCAGAGAGGGAGGGGGAGGGGGGGACTGGTCATCTTTTTCTTTCTTTCTTTTTTTATGACTTTTGTAGGAGTGTTTTGGAGGGAGAGGCTCTTGAGTACAAAAGGTGCTTCAACCGGGGTCCCTCTAGTTAAAAAACATACCAAGGGGAATACTTTCAGGCACTTGATAAAATGATGAATGGGCTCAGACTGTAGGGAGGCCAGATGGCAGTGATGGGCGGAGTGGGCAGAAGTGGCCAGATCGTGATGGTCAGCCTGCCACTCTGAAGGAAGCTTTCCGGGTGCCACTGAGACCAGGGAAGGGTAGGACTGGCGCATGTTGGTCATATTTGCTCACCTGCATTTCTTTCATAGTCTCCGATGAACCGTTTGGTGAGGAAGCGCACCACCAGAGCTGAGGGGAGGGGGAGGCGGAGGGGGAAGGGGGGACAGAAGAGAGAAACAAGAAAGGGTCAACAACGCTGGCCTGAGCCATTAGCCTGGTCACTACTCCACCCCCAGCCTGGGAGACAACCCTCTGCCCCGCAGCTCCCCGACCCCCTTTGCAGAGACGAGGAGAGGAAGGCTGGCGGGCCCTGTGAGTTATGGCTCTGTCCAGCTGGAAGGGTCATTTGGCCCCGGAGCCTCCTCTGGACTGCACATCCGCCTTCCAGCAGACAAATGTCGTTCCTAACCTTCAAGACCTCCAGGAGGGGCTATAAGCGCTGACCGCCCCCTCTGTGCCACGCTCGCCAGGGGCTCGGAAACCACAAAGTTCTGATTCCCGTTGAACAGAGAAGGTCGCTGAGGCAGCCTGGACCCCAGTACCCTCATGTGTAGGAAGGGCTGCAAGCGACGACGATCGCTAAGGGGACGAAGGTCCCTCCCAGAAGGGTGTGGGCGATTCAGCCGCAGCCCGCACCTTCCTCCACTCATCCCACTTCTCCCCAGCTCCCAGCGAGGAAGGCCCACCCTAGCCGCGGCTCTCCCCAGAGCAGGGCACTCACCAGTCTTGCCCACTCCACTGGCCCCGACCACGGCGATCTTCACGAGGCGGCGCCCGGCAGCCCCCCCGCAGCAATCGGCGGCAGCGCTGCCCGAGGTGGGGTACTCGGCGATGGTGCACATGTTCTGAATGAGGCGCATCGCCGCTCGGAGCAGGGCTGAGCGCGCCGGGCAGGAGCCGTGGGCAGGCGCGGGGACGCTCGAGCTGGGCGGGAGAGCCACGGGCAGAAGTGAGCTAGACGCTGGGCGACCCAACGCCGGGCAGCGGTCGGGGGAGGAAAGCTGCACCCGGCTGCGCGCGCGCGCCCTATTTTCTCTCGGGATGGCCCCGCCCCCGTCTTCTACCACCAATCCCGGGGCTCCGAGGGCGAGACCCCGCCCCCGGTGCCGCTCCGCGCACGGCGCCCGCGGAGGCCCCCGGAGCCAGCTAGGGGCTAGAAAGTGGAGCGGCCGGCCAATGGCGGGTGCCTCCTGGGGTCCGGCTGCGCCAGCACGGGGCGGAGGCTGTGGCTGCAGGGACCCCTTGAGCTCCAAGAAGTGGGGCTTGGTCCAAGGGGGCGTGGCGGTCGGTAGTGGGAGAAGCTCCCCGCCCCCTGCGTCGGCCGAGCCTAGCTGTCTGTCTGTCGTCACTGTCCGTGTCTCCTCCCGCTGGCCCCCAACTGCGGGGCCAGATCCGGGGGAGGGGGTTGGAACCTGCCTTCCTGTGAGCGCCCAGGCTACGGTGTCTCATCTGTTTCTTTCGTTTGGGGTGTGATTGCCCTGCCTTGGTGAATCTGGGGTGACCTCCCAGACCACCGATGTGGGTAAAACTGCGCTTATGACAAAGATCCCACCCCCAAAATGTAACTGTCTTCGGGACAAAAGAATGTCACCCATGTAAACAATAGACTTAAGGTCCCCGAGTCACACTCGTGCGCACCCTCACGGTCGGTCGCATGTACAGCACACCCTAAGTCAAAGTTGGGAGTTGATGGAGCACCGCAGGCCCAGTCACAGCCCCTCTGAGACCTGGCAGAGAGCAGCCCCAGTCACCCGGGAGGCAGTGGCTGGCTACCAACCACTGCAAGAGAGCCCCAGTTCCTGACAGAAAGACCCAAAGGCCAGCGGCTTGTCGCTGAGCAAGATGGTGGGACTCCAGCCCCACTCATCCTCCTTAGGGAAATGCGTCTTCCAAGACGTGGAATTCCTGGTCAAAGCAACAGGCTGTACCTTAAAGTTTGTGAAACACTTTCACCAAAGCCTCCACCCCTGCCCCACTACCCTGCCCTCCCTGCCCTGTCCCACTTGTGGGCCCCAAAATATTCTAAGAGGCTTTTATCCTGTGGGCATATGACAACAAATACTAATTGCAGCTTTGTGCCTGCACCAACGTTAAAGGTTGAAATAGAAAATAAGCAAATTCCCTAATCTCCACATATCAGGCATCTAGCTTGTCCCCCTACCCCCCACCACACACACACACACACACACACACACACACACACCACCAATAGTGAATTGACAGAACATTCCACAGAAACGACGATGCTGAAACAGTGCAGAGGGGAAGATGAACCCACTTGAGGTGTTTGCAGAAACTGAGGGGTCATACAAAAGCCATCGTAAGCAGTGGCGTCACTGTATAGGTTGGCAGGGAGTGGGGGCGGGCAGACCACTGTCAAAGGGAGTGACATCCAAATGACTGTACAGCTTTTATTCAGTGGTTCAACAGACACTTGTTATATTTTTAAATTCCCAAGGGAGTCCTGGTGGTGTAGGGGTTATGTGTTGGGCTGCTAACTATAAGGGCAGCAGTTCAAAACCACCAGCTGCTCTGTGGGAGAGAGATGAGGCTTTCCACTCTCTTAAACAGTTACAGTAGTGGAAACCCACAGAAGCAGTTCTGTCCTGTCCTAGAGGCGTCAACTTGATGGCATGAGTTTTCTTTTCACTTATGCCAGAAACATGATTTTTCTAAGTTCAATTTGCATCTAACAGTATACCTACAAGGCTAATGTTCTGTGCTAACTTACTCTTGGGAATTTTTTTTTGTTGCTACTTCATAACTGTAATTTTGCTACTGTTATGAATCAGGCGACCCCTGTGAAAGGGTCGTTTGACCCCCAAAGGGGTCGCAACCCACAGGTTGAGAACCACTGCTTTGTAGGAAAAGAAAGCCTCATCTTTCTCCTGAAGAGAAGCTGTTAGTTTCAAATTCCTGACCTTGTGGTTAACAGCCCAACATGTAAGCGTTACACCACCAGCATTCATGTAGTCTAAGAAATATCACATTAAAGTAATTTATAACTAGATCACATTTTTCTATAATTAAAATGGATACTGAACATTACAAAGGATTCTGTATGGTCTGGTATGGGAAGAGGTGGGGGAGGATGGGGTGACACCATGAATCACCACCCTGGGTGCCATCAAACGTAGGGACACCACTGATCTCCAGTTGTTTTGTTGGCAAGTCTTCTAGGATGGCCAATGTAACTAGTCAGACACACAACCATAACAATAAATATAATAAAAGCCCGGTTCCAGTGTGATCAATAGAATAAAATACGTCAAGCCATTTGAATCGGGAGAAGATGAGTTGCCTGTCTACCACATCTTTCTGCATGTTTTAAATCCAACGTGAACTTTGCTGTGCTGCATGATCAAATGTGGCATGTCTGTAACGACAGGTAGCCTGCTGCTTTTTAAACCCCACCCTCCCTCTCAAAAGCCTCCAGTTCTATCATAGTTTCATGGTAAAATGATTAGGTAGTCAAGTATTTGTTTAACTGCTTTCTATGCACACACATGCACACACTCACACATGGCAAAAGTTGTCAAGGAGAATTCTGCTTTGAATCATTTATAGCTTTGGGGGGGCTTGCTTTCTGTTAGCATGAGGCTTGTACCAAACCTATGATTTTTCTGTCTGAAACACATGGGCTGAATGTAGAGTTCCTATTTTAAGTCTAAAGGGAGCTAGCTTGCTGTGCTTTGAAGAACACAGAAAGCAAAAAGAAAGAGCTGCTCAAACTGAAAACACATAGCATACACCTCCTCACTCCAGGGCATCTTAAATGATGACTCTCTGAGTGAGCCCTCTTGGAAATACGAAGAAGTAAATTTTTTTTAAAGAAGAGTTGGGAGAAAGGGAGATTAATATATATTATTAATATATATTTTTAAAAATCATTTTATTGGGGATTCTTACAACTCTTATCACAGTCCATACATACATCCACTGTGTCAAGCACATTTCTACATTTGTTGCCATCATCATTCTCAAAACATTTACTTTCTACTTGAGTCCTTGGTATCAGCTCCTCATTTTTCCCCGTTACCCCCTGCCTAATGAACCCTTGATAATTTATAAATTATTATTATTTTGTCATATCTTACACTGTCTGATGTCTCCCTTCACCCATTTTTCTGTTGTCCATCCCCCAGGGAGGAGGTTATACATAGATCCTTGTAATCGGTTCCCCCTTTCTACCCCACTTTCCCTCCACCCACCTGATATGGCCACCCTCACCACTGGTCCTGAAGGGATCATCCGCCCTGAATTCTTGTGTTTCCAGTTCCTATCTCTGGTCTAGCCAGATTTGTAATGTAGAATTGGGATCATGATAGTTGGAGGGGAGGAAGCATTTAAGAACTAGAGAAAAGTTGTATGTTTCATC